GGGGGACAGGGATTACCAGGGATTGAACTCAGAGGCACTCAACCCCCGAGCCCCATCCCCAGCCTATTTCGTATTTTATTTAGAGACGGGGTCTCACTGAGTTGCTTAGGGCCTCTCTTTTGCTGAGGCTGGCTTTGAACTCCCAATCCTCCTGCCTCAGCCTCCTGGGCTGCTGGGATGACAGGTGAGTGCTACTGCACCAGGCTAAAATGATACATTTTATGTTGTGTGTATTTTTCCATCTAGAAAGAAAAGGAAACAAAACCCCTCAACTCTTGGCACTGCCAGGGACGTTAGTGGAATCCATTTAGCCCACACGTATTAATTGAGCACCTGCTTTGTGCCAGGCTCAAGGGTGCTGCTGGGATTACGAGGTGAGCCAACTACTCAGACTCCTGCCTGCAGTGCTCACCCTCTCCCAGGAGGGGACAGGGGTTAAAACATAGGTAGCCATCTGCCAGCGGGTGGCATACACAGGCGGTCCAGCTCCTGGGGAAGCTGAGGCAGGAGGATCACTCAAGCCCAGGAGTTCTGGGCCAGCCCAGGGGAAGGGAGAAACTGTCTACATGCAGAGAGAAAGAGGAGCACCATGCAGGTGTCTTGCCCGTGGTGAGAGATCCTGCGAGTATGAGAGAGGGTGACATTCCAAGTCTGGAACCCACTAAGTAAGGGGTGATTGAAACAGGCTCCAGAGGGGGAACCCCAGTGAGCAAGGGCCCCGCCCCGAGGAGCAGCCCCCAAATCAAAAATCTCCAATAGTCCCCTCCCCCTTGGTCTGCACAGAGGACGGAAAGGGAGAGGACACTCCAGGGAGAGAGGGGACTGATATTCACCCACATCCTCGATTCGTTTTTAAGGATGAAAGGAAGGCCCATGGACCGCCCCGACTCAGGAGAACACCCCAGAAGGGCAGGACCCTGTGGCCCGACCCCTCCTTGAGGACTCTGGCTAGCGCGTCCTCCCGGCGAGGACCATCCACGGCTCCCTGCCGTCTCCTGGGACCGAGAGCGACCTCGGTGGCCTTTCTGGAAGGTAATGTGTGATGTCTTTGCCAATCTCATGGCGCCCACCCAGAATCGTCCCGCGCTGGCGATTCCTTAGAGGGACAGAGACAAGACGGCACGGGCCGGCTGGACCGCGGGACAGGGACAGATGGGGTGGGTCACGAGCCAGGCCCAGGGCTCCGTGTGGACCCTTTTATTGGCTCTTCTTCCCTCTCGCTGTGTCCACTCCACAGATGAGGGACCCTCAGCACGGAGGAGCTGGGAGCTTGCCTGAGGTCACACGAGAAGCGGCTGAAGCCAGGCTTTGGCCAAGCTCCCTGACTTCAGAGTCCCCACTCCAGCCACCCTGCTGTGTCCTGTCCTGCTGCCACCATGCTGCTTTGGTTGGCCTTGGTTGGCACAGTGCAAAAACGGGGGACAATCATCAGGAGGGGAGCGATCAGATTATGGCCCATGTGTTAAGAAAATGCGTCATGAATCCAAGAGCCAAAGGCGTGACTGCCTGAGTGTCCCCGGGCAGATGAATGGAGTGACAAAATGTGGCTTCTTCATGTAATGGAATATTATTCCCTGCTAGAAATACAGGATTTTTGTTTTGTTTTGTTTTGTTTTTGTTTTTTTGGTACCAGGGATTGAACCCAGGGGTGCTTCACCACTGAGCCACACCCCCAGCCCTTTTTGTATTTCATTTATTTATTTATTTATTTTTAAAATATTTGTTCTTAAGTTTTAGGTGGACACAATGTCTTTATTTTATTTATTTATTTTTATGTGGTGCTGAGGATTGAACCCAGGGCCACAGTGCTAGGCGAGCGCTCTACCACGGAGCCCCGTCCCCAGCCCTATTTCGTATTTTCTTTAGAGA